TTGAACCCTATGGGGAAATTTGCGTCGGGTTACACCCAACTCGGGATACACCCAGAGTCATGGAACGGATTAAGTTCATATCCCGAGGTACCACTGTATATGTTTGTCCAGGCTTTTAAGTAGTTTATTAAGCTAGTATGCACACAATAAAACAACAATAGGTTAATTAGCCGCGCATAAGATAGGATTAAGCCTTTCATTGATTTAAAAATGGATCAGTCTAAGAATGACTAAACCTGAATCCAGTTCCAATGGTCAAATAATAACTAAAGCAAAAAAGTAAAGTTTTAAATGTTTGACTGCAACAAGAGTATGGCAGAATTTAACCTTGAAAAGTAACTTGTGTGACTCTTGGATCATGTTTCTAGAAAGCCTTTATTAAAAATAAGTTCCAAGAAGATTGTGGATTCATTTCTAAATCAGTGAGCACAGGTTGGCAGCCTTAGCAACTCCCAGGACACATTCAGAACTCTTTTCCTTCTGCTTTTCCATTCATATGGATTCCGTGGGGGGTGGCGGGGGGGGGGGACATGACTTACAGATTTAGTATTTCCTTCTGATACCTCTTCTTCTAGTGGCTCAAGCTTTAGATCCTTGTCAACCGATAAAGGGGAAATACAAACAAAAGTGTGTATCTAATTAATGCTTTAACAAACAGTCTTCAACTTAATAAAAAAAGAATCCCCAATACCATGATGACCAATTTTGGTAGAAAAGAACATGCAAAAATGGTGTGGAATTTAAGGGTATTGAAAAGGTGATTTCCTGTAATTATGGAAACAGACTAGCATTGTCCTTTGGATGCAATAGCTTGTGTGTGGGGGTTGGTAATGGAAACACATCTCTGGAGATTGCTAGGATAGTTACAAATATTTCTACCATCAGGTCATTTTTGAAAAGGGGAAAAACCCAAGAATATTCCAAGTGAACACCCTAACCCTAACCCTAACCCGAACATCATATCCTGCCAAGTAGAGCCCTCTTCTGATTTATGGCTGACCATAAAAGCCAATGTACCTCTTTTTTATCAGGATTAAAAACTCTTTTTGTCTGGGATTGGTTGAAGACAGTCCATGTGACTGAAACATTAGGAACTATGGCTGTTGCAATGACAAAGCTTATCAGCAGATAGCAGATGAAACATGGGCAAATCGTGATACATGAATAATTTCAGGTGGTTAAATCTGCAGTGAAATAGGATTTGCAATGGGTGGTAGATTAGAAGATAATCTACTTGTAAAATATCATTCTTTTAAATACAGAGATTAAAAATAAATACATCCTGGTTGGTTAAGATACATCCTTTTTCTAAAAAGCAATACATTGTGCTTCCTGGAACTTCTTTTATACAGGTTGCTTATTGATTAACAAACCTTTCCTCTACCTAGCCTATGATGAAAGGCAATAAAGATATTATGAGAGCAAGAACATGCCTTAATTTGCCCTGTGAAGTCACTCTGTGCTTTTTGTAATACACAAATTTTTGTTGCATACCTGCTCGACTGCAAATAAAGAACAGGCATATTTGTGACTTTCTTTGCTGATAACAGTTGCAGCTTTTCTTGCATTTATTTATTTTTTATTTAAAATTCCCTTCCCTCCTATTTTTTAAGTCACAACCCCTGCTCCGATCCATACCATTTTCAAAGTGGATCTTTCTTTTGTCAGCTTCTCTCACCACACAAAATTTGGTTCCATTCTATTCTGTTGTTGGAAAGTTGCCCTGCTGATAAATGGATGGACAGAGTCCTTAATCCAGTGTTGTCCAAACTTGGCCACTTTAAGATGAGTGGACTTCATGGCTGGCTGG